TTGTGATAATAATAAAATGTAGGTATGTATATGAGTACTCACTCATTTTCTTTCGCTATTTTTTCGTGACTTTCTTCATTAATAATAAATGCACTTTGTTCATTCATATTCAAAATTTCAAAACACTTTATACACAAACACCGTGTCGAAGACTGAGGAAAAGAAACGACGTTATACCATCGTTAGACAATGCACGGCCTTCAAGCCACACCTCCGTGCCCGTCGGAGAGCGTGAGGTTTTTTTCGTTACGAAATTTCTGGATTTTTCCGCACTCAAGGCCCGCGATAGAAGCTATGCAACAGCTTAAAAAAATTATTTACATTCTAATGGATAAGAAATAAGATAAGATAAGTGGAATCGTCTCGCTTTCTTATGGAAAGATTTAATTACGTCCACGTAAAATGTTGGTGAACGTTTTAATTGTACCAATAACTGTTTTTGATTGCGATAATTGATAAGTGATAATGAAATACACTCTTAACCTTGTGTATTATCTCAACAAAGTTTAAAGATTTTCTCTCCGATTATCACTTTAACACAATTCAATTCATCACAAGGAACACTATTATCCTCCATTTTCAAAAACTTTAAAAAAGCATAAATTTTGAACTCGTAAATCGCTTAAGATAAGCACACAGAGTAAATAAACATTGAAACGTGAAACGCAAACGTATTGCCCGCGCGCCTCCGCTTTTAACAAATTTATTCCCAAAAGCCTGGCTTTAAATCTCTATACTAATTGCTATATATACAATCGTAGTTTTTTTTAATTATAGAATATTTTGCCATAGGTTAGTAAGAGAGCGATTGCCTTCTCGAAAGCACCGTAAAAAGCCCACGCGAGCGAGGAAGACAACTATTAGCTCTATTAAAACTCATTTGTATGACAGCAGCAGTATCGCTAAGGCAATACGAGGTCATCGGTCGACATGTGTCGAACAGTGGAGTGCGCGGGAACTTTGAAATAGCTTGAAACATTTTACGAGTTATTTTATTAGTTGATATTATTGATTGATTCAGGTTTATTAAGGCAAGCCCCGCTTTTCGGCTTTAATGGAAGCTTCGCCACTGTATTAGATACACTTTTGTATCTATATTTTATACATACATAACATACATAAACACTCACGCCTGTCACCCAGAGGGGTAGGCAGAGACTATGGACTTCCATTTGGCACGATCCTGACATACCTCTTTCGCCTCCTTTACATCCATATATCTACGCATACATGCTCGTCGGTTGGTCGATAAACTTTTTTCTAGGGCGTCCCTTCCCGACTCGGCCGTTCACATCTGCCATATAAATTTGCTTTGTCACTCTTTCCTCATTCATTCTTTCTACATGACCAAATCACCGAAGCATTCCTTTCTTAATCCTGGTCACAACATCATCTTGCATACCACATTTATCTCTTATCACGCAATTTCTCACCCTGTCATTCAGATATAACCCTAGCATACTCCTTAAAGACCGCATTTCTACAGCATTTATTCTACTTTCGTGCTTCTTCTGCCACACCCAGCTTTCACTACCATACATTAAAGTAGGGTCTAACACAGCATTATGAATTACCATACGTGCCTTTTTTGACACATTCTGGTTCTTCATAATAGAGTGTAGTGCCCCATTCACTCTATTCACTGCATTTACTCGTCGTTCTATATGCCTATCATATCTACCATCCCTGCTAAATGCACATCCCAAATACACAAACTCATCCACTTAATCAATTAACTCTCCTTCTATTCTTATTTCACATACCGTTTTTCTTTATTCTCTTTCGAAAACCATCACTTTCGTCTTACTTACGTTTGCCCTTTCTTTTAATTCCCAGTTCATTAATGTAACCATCATTTGTAACTCAACCGCCGATGACGCAAATATGACTTGATCATCGGCATACAAAAGGCATTTGACGGTTAACTCGCCCGTTCTTAACCCACATTCTTCATCTTTCAAAGTTTGCAAACACCTGTCCATAAATAGGTTGAACAGCCAAGGAGAAGCTACACAGCCCTGTCTGACACCTTTTTGGATGCCAAACCAGTCCAAGTAGACCCCATTGATCCTGACACAAGGACTAGAGTCCCTATAAAGAGACCTTAATGCCTGTATCAAACCAGCGCTCAACCCATATGAGTTCAGTGTTTGCCATAACACATTCCTGTCCACTCTGTCATAAGCCTTTTCCAAGTCCATGAACGCACAAAAAACTTTCTAGTTTTTGTCCAAAAACTTCTCTGCAATCATGCGCATGGAAAAGACTTGATCTGTACACCCCATTCCCTTTCTAAAAACCGCTTGCACATCCCAAATTTTTCCATCAGTTTCATAACTCTTTCAATTAACACCTTAGCATACAGTTTACCCACAATACTAAGCAAGCTGATACCACGGTAGTTTTTGCAGTCCTGCTGTGACCCTTTTCCTATATTTTATTTACATTTAAAAACATTAGTTAGGCTTCTTTTATAGCAGGCAACTGTGTCCTTCGATCACTTATAAATATACACTAACTATATAACGTCTAAAACTAAATTAAGTCGCGCGCGATGAATAGCGCGCTACGAGAACAAATTTGCATCACACGTCCTCTCCCAGCAGCGCTGTTTCTAGAACCATCTGCCGCTAGATATTAGTACTTAATAGCGCCAAAGCGCCATAGCGCAATAGCACCATGACGACTTCTTACATAACACGCGCTATGTGTAATGGAGAGATAGCGCGCTATAATATGGCGCTACGCGCTATATTAACCACCATTAGTAACCACTATCCAAACGCGACGACGTAGCTTTGAAACTAATAACAATTTAAGTAAACATATATCTATCTCACTTACACAAGTTGCGAAAACAATATCGTAGCTTAGATTAGATAAATATAGACACACAAACATGCAAGGCAATAAAAAAAATGCAAACAGGCGGGTTGGTGTGGCTTACTATATGAAATTTTACCTAAAATACGCAATAAAAATGATTTTTTTTAAGCTGCAGTTAATTGTTTTTATATTAAAAAAGTATATTTTATTTTAAAATCTTTATTACACCCCCTTAGAAAAAAAATGATACAAAGCTTATCGGATGAATAAACATAATGATGAAATAAAACGTATTTTTATGGTACTAATAAATGAAACAATATAAAATAGGTAATAAAATATAATTAATATAAAATTTATATGAAATTATAAATAATATAAAATTATTAATATAAAATAGGTAATAAAATATATTTAATAGATAATTCATCAATAAACTAAAATAAGAATAAGTAATTATTTTGTATGAAAGTTAAAACGTAGTTTTTATTATAATTTCCAAAATATTTAAAATCAGAGGTAACAAATTAACTTACTCCATTAATTATATAGTCTCCCATTAATGTAGGATAATCACAAATGCGGAAAAGTGGCAACTTTGAGCCTAAATGGCATAATTCGATAATTTCATTTAATTATTTGAGGTTTTTTACGTTTATATCAAAACAAGAACTAAAACGTATGTGTTGAAATGATTCCGCTTGATTTATTAAGTTTTTGTGACCTTGAATAGCATTCTTTCACTACGCATTTATAAATTTTTGTCGCGGTTCAACTCTGTCGGCGTCACATTGAACAATGAACTCACGTTAGCTAGGCATATGGCTGTGGCCATATGTGCAGTGGCAACGCATTGGCGCGGTTTACAGCTGCACGTATTATTATCATGGCATTGGTATTAGTGATCTAGTGTTATATAAATCAGTGCTTACAGCCAATTACTTAATAAAGGAATAAAAAAACTACGACTTAATGCTTGATGTATGGAGTGTAGAAGTAAGCTAAGTAGCTAAGTAAGCTAGTAACTCCCATAGTAGAATACATGAAGAGAACGTAGAATAGTTGAAAAGTGGTCTGTAATCAGTAAATAACAGTTCAAAAACTCTCCACCAGTGCTGGAGTAGCTACTGGGATGAAGCATTTTGAACACATGAAGCAGTTGTCGACGGTTTGAAGTGTGCTACTAAACTGCTCTATAGCTCTAAAATCTAAAATAATTTTATTTACTAAATATAACCTCAAAAAAGTCGTATACCCCACTAATATTTTTCAGCACGTTCTAAATTTAGTCCGTACTACGGGTGGTGGCACTAAAGTGGCGCCACTATAACTACGGGCCCCGTAGCTATAGTGGCGCCACCTTTATTTAACGGTTTTCTATGGACACTTTTTAATACACAGTCTGTACTCCTTACTTCTATAATAATATATATTATAATATAATTATACCGTAGACAGAGAATGCTAGGATTCTCCGTCTACGAATTATACACTCCATGGGTATGTTCCGAAATACAACGCAGTGTACTGTCCAATGCAAATGACGTCATGAATCGACGCTATACTGGTGATTTGGACAGTATATGACGTCATACTTTTGCGCCATTTGGAAAAGTGTTGGCGATTATTTTGTCATTTTGTGCTCAAAAAATCATTATACCCTCCTAATGGATATACATTAAATTATTCTATAATTTTTTGTATTTGAATAAATAGAAACAAATTCTGGCATGCTTCACTCGGCAAACACATAATTAAAAATTGTTTTATTATGGCCGGATATCCGACACAATATGGCGGCGGCACGCTAGTACAATAAAGTGTCAAATGATACGTCATTGGCATTGGACAGTACACTGCGTTGTATTTCGGAACATACCCCATAGCTTGATGGTTGTCAACCCAATTGCCATGGAAATATCTAGCTAGCTACATATTTATTTATCTATGGAAATATCTAAACATATAATAAACGCCTCTATGCATACAATTATAAACGTTGTGCATCAAGCTATGTTGTTTCTCAATTATATTTAAAATTGGTGTTGTCGTAACAAGGTACCCTTAGGTTTTAGTGTTATGTGGACAAGGCCTTACAAACTAATATTAAAAGGTGTTATACAAATCTTATAGTAAACAATACGTCTAATCGTCGTAATCTTAATATCTTTGCAATGGGTATAACCAGTCGTTGGTTAGACGTCGAAGTTGGAACAGATGAAATAGAACTTAATTCCTTGCCTTCGAATTTGGGGCTGATTGATCTCCAAAATGACAATGAATTTAAATTACTTGTTGGTGACTTGGGGCGCGGAGATGAAATACCTAAATTAAAGGTAAATATTAGTGTTATAATGACGAGAGTATAGTTAAAACAGGTTCAAATTATGTTGTAACTTTGCAGGTATTCAAAGGAGCAATGCAAACATCAGATTTAGTGCTGCCTGATTTGCCATTAGGCGTTGTAGGTTTCTATACAAGTGAGACGATGCCACGCTCATTTCCTGTTGTAGCTGTTGCAATGAGTTCATGTGTTTACATATATCGAAACATGAAATTGTTTTATAAATACTACCTGCCCTCTGTGGAGCTTAATTCCTGTGAGGTAGAGATTTGGAAACAGGTACTTATTTCTATCTTCTATTTTTTTTAACAAATTTTTTTATGTTATTAATAATAAAGAAGCTATAAATAATGTGAAAATTGAAGCCAATGCATTTTACAGTATTATAGTAATGGAAAGATTTTTGAGAATTAGTAATTAATTGTGTTTAACTAAGTCTTGTTAATTCATATTGTATATTATGTGAATAAACAGGAATGCATTTTCATTTCAATTCAAATGTCACATTTATTATACAATCTACCTACTTAGATTTTCGTTTTGTTTCTGATATACTTCTCCTGGTCATCATATACAATAGCTGCTTATCTTAGTATATTTGCAAAGTAATATTTAGCGATTATTTCTTGATTACTGTATTATAATAATTCCTAAATTAAATATACCATGTAATGTAAAGACAATTTTTTTTCAGTTAATGGAACCACATAACCAGAATGAAGAAGCCTTTAAGGCTCTTACAACAAGTCTACTATCTATACCACAAAAAGTTCTAAGCAACCAATCTCAGAATTTTCTTAGTCTTGATTTTGAACAGAGACTTGAATATTTACAACAGATGACAGAGTTACCAGGTTGTAAAAATTCAGAAATTTCTTGTATCACAGCCTTAAAAATGAATTCAGTAGATAAGTATGCTGTGAGTTGTTTGGTGATAGGAACGGAAGATGGAGAGGTTATTATTTTAGAACCTGCTTCATTTACACCCTTAAGTACTGTGAGTATATATTGCAGCTTAAGTACCTATAATTACATAGAATGTGACAGAGGAACCTTACATACAATATGAAGAAAAAAAAACCTTTCCAATCCCGTAGAGTACTTTTAAGCATCGCAATATGATTCATGTAAATCTATTCAGAGAATTAATAAATAATAAAAAGTTACTTAATTTTATTTAATTTTGATTGCAATCGGCAATATATGCACCGTCTACAGTAGTTGGGTAAACCTAATCAGCAAATCACTACTCATTCCATGTCCAGTAGAAATGTAATAAATACGTATTTTAAGTATGTAACAATTAAAAAAAAATAAAATGATATTTTCATATTTATTAATAATATGTTTTATTTTTTTTTACATTATTGCGATACTTACGTGCCGATTTCGGATCAGACAGGGGTCATTTTTTCATGTTGTATAAACACTTAAAATATAAAATTACTTATTTTGTGTGTTTTTCAGTCTTACTTGATATTGTAGTCTAAAGAATAGAATAATTTTTTATTCAATATAGATTACAAGTAATAAGAAAATAAGATAGTTAATAATTATCTTAGATATATATATATATACATATACATAATATACATAAACACTCACGCCTCTCACCCAGAGGGGTAGGCAGAGACTACAGACTTCCGTTTGGCACGATCCTGACACACCTCTCTCGCCTCCTTCACATCCATACACCTCCGCATACATGCTCGTCGGTTAAGGGTACTCCTAATTTGGCCCGTTTTCAATAAATCGCCAATTTGGTCGATAAATTTTCGCCTAGGACGTCCCTTTCCGACTCTGCCATTCACTTCTGCAACATAAATTTTCTTTGTCACTCTTTCCTCATTCATTCTTTCCACATGACCAAACCACCGAAGCATTCCTTTCTTAATCCTGGTCACAACATCATCTTACAAACCACACTCTTCTCTTATTACACAATTTCTTACCCTGTCATTCAGATTCAGCTCTAACATACTCCTTAACGACCGCATTTCTACTGCGTTCATTCTACTCTCGTGCTTCTTCTGCCACACCCAACTTTCACTACCATACGTTAAAGTAGGGACCAACACAGCATTGTGAATTGCCATACGTGCCTTTTTCGACACATTTTGACTCTTCACAATAGAGTGCAGGGCCCCATTTACTCTATTTCCCGCATTCACTCGTCGTTCTATATCCTTATCATATCTCCCATCCCTGCTAAATACGCAGCCCAAATATACAAACTCATCTACTTGCTCGATCAACTCCCCTTCTATTCTTATGATCCTAACACAAGCACTAGAGTCCCTATAAAGGGACTCCAATGCCTGTATCAAGCCAGCGCCCAACCCAAATGACTTCAGTGTTTGCCATAGCACATCCCTATTCACTCTGTCATAGGCCTTTTCCAAGTCCATGAACGCACAAAAAACCTTTTGGTTTTTGGCCAAAAACTTCTCCACGATCATGCGCATGGAAAAGACTTGATCTGTACATCCCATTCCCTTTCTAAATCCCGTTTGCACATCCCAAATTTTTCCATTAGTTTCTTTCATGACCCTTTCAATCAGTACCTTAGCATACAGTTTTCCCACAATGCTAAGAAAGGCTGATGCCACGGTAGTTTTTACAGTCCTGCTGCGACCCTTTTCCCTTATATACTGGGACTATCACGGCTTTGCACCAGTCTACCGGTACCCACTTCAGTTCCCAGCATAAATTAAACAAGGTGTGCAGCAGGCCTGCCACCACTTCCTCTCCAGCCCTTAGCATTTCGAGTGAAACTCTATCATATCCAGCAGCCTTACCTGCTTTCATGATTTTCATTGCTTTCATTATTTCACCTATACTTATATCGCTACCTCTTTCCTCTTCTTTCGGAATTTCTACTTCACTTAGTACACACGTTGTCTCCTCACTCATAAACAGCTTTCAAAATATTCCTTCCATCTCTTTAAACTCAAAACTTCATCATTCAGAATATAGCCATTCTCGTCTCTTATAGCATTCATGGCATAGGCTGTTTCGAATGTCCCCTGGCAGTTCTTACAAGTTTCCAGAACATTTTAATATTTGCCTGGAAATTATCTTCTATCATTCTTATCCGTTCTTTCTTGCTTTTTTCTTTCAACTACTTCTTTTACTCTCTTATTAAGATGTCTAAAGACTGCCCTTTTTCTTTCAATATCATCATTCGTACCGCTAGAATTACCAGCCTTTGTTGCTAGTAAATCTAGCAATGCTCTCTTTGCTTCAACTTCCATACGTACCTCATCATCCCACCATAACGTATTATTTTTCCTTTCATTCTTTCTCTTACTAACACCACATACTTCGGTAGCTGCATCCACTAAACCTTTCTTTACATTTTGCCATACATTCTCCAAGTCTAACTCCTTCATACATAATTCATCCAAACCACTTATATTTTCTTTCAGTCTACATTTAAACTTGTTTTTCTCACCTTCATTTTGTAACCTTTCTGTTCTAATACGCTGTAACGCAGTGGTAGACACAGATGACCGATGGCGCCAACGCCTGAATAGACCATTAATTCGGCATAAAACCAAATAATGATCCATTCCTACGTTAGAACCGGTAAACCCTTGTATCCACCATTGCACCCCTCAATCTTTCATCCACAATTATTAAATCTATCATGCTTCTATCGTCACCTCTTTCCCAAGTATACATGTAAATCCTCTTGTGGCGAAAGCAAGTGTTCGTCACAAAAAGATTCTTTTCCATACATACGGTGAGAAGACTTTCACCATTCTCATTTATACTTTCATCACCAAACGTTCCCAATATCCTTTCATAACCAAGCCTCCTCATCCCAACCCTTCCATTAAAATCTCCTAGCATAATAATATTTTCATTTCTATTACACTTCATTAACACCATCCTTACCATTTCCCAAAACTGCTCTCGGATATAAGTGGGATTAGACATGTCTGGGGCGTAGATCCCTAACACAAACAACTTTTTTTAAGCCCACTTTCATTCGTATCCATAGCAGTCTTGGGCTTACACATTCATACTCTTTCACACATTGGCCCATTCTTTCTGAAAGGATGATACCTACTCCCTGGCATGCCCGCTCGATCTCGTCTACACCAGACCAGTATGCGGTATACATGCCATGTGTAGTGATATCCTTCCCCTTCCTTTTCGTCTCATTTACACATAACACATCTATTTCTCTATCATACATCACATCGCTACATAGCACAACTGGAATACTTCATCCATTTTATCATTTATTGCCCCACATACATTCAACGTAGCCAGACGGGCCTCTGCAATCCACTTTTCGCCTCTCCGGGAGACAGAACGTGATGGTGGCGAACCTCGTCGCCGGTTTTCCTCCCGGAGATTCTTCGCACCCCTGCCCCATTAAAGGGGCGCCGGGAACTCGGGGCCATTTCTTTTATATGGTTCCTCATGGTGCGGATAAAGGGTAGTATATTTTACGCCTCTACCACGGCGTGGACAGAAGTGGTTTATATATATATATATATATATATATATATATATATATATATATATATCTAAGATAATATATAAATATCTATAATATATAAATATCTAAGATAATAATCTTCGAAATTTAGATGTAAATGGGCAGAAGAGCGAATATTTTAATTTGGCAAAATGATATGAATAATACATACTTATTTTTTGAACAGGCAAAGTTATATACAATAAAGAAAATACCTTTCCAAATGATTGCAACTGGGCTTTACAATGTTGACTACAGAATAACTATAGCTACAAGGTGTGAAAGTAATTTGGTTCCCACCTGTACATCTTTGCTTTCAGTCACAACATTTAATTTTATTTGTTTTTTATTTAATATGACAATTAATTTTATCCATTAAGATTAAATAGTTCTCTACTATGTTATATAATTTAATTTTAATTTTAACCAGGCTATGATTGTTGTCCTGCACTGTGATGATAGTGACATAAGAGTATTCACAACCCCGTATCATCCCGTGGGTGTCGTAAGAGGTGACAAAGGGAAATTAAACAGGAGATGGGCAGCAGTGTTTTCCTGATAACGAAAATAATAAAAAACTGCAGTTGCTAAACCACCAGCTCAGTGTTGCAAATCTGTAGTTTATCTATTTTCTGTAATGTTTGTGCTGTTAGCCCGTACGGCTCTTACGGCTTCTGCTGATTTATGTAGTATAATATAGGCGGCTGCAATGATTGAATAAATATGATATTTAATTTTGTTGCTATTTTTATTACAATATGTATATTAAAACTAATCTTAAACTGGGTCTTGTAGTGGCGGCGTGAGAAAATCCACTACCCCATGTCATCCCATGAAAGATATACGACTGCAGTGGCCAACCCTTCTGCCAAGCATTGTAATCATGATAAATACCCCCTATGCAATCTATGGAGGAGGCTTACGTTCAACAGTCGACTTTGTTAGGTTTCATAGGTGTCAACAGAAGATGGGCCTGTCGACAGCTACGGGTATAATATGACGTAGTGGATATTCTTACATCGGGACAACACAGCATATTATGTAAAACACATGAAAATCATACAAAAAATTATATTGTCTAGTATTCTAACATACTTATTGCACATGTGGCACAAATATACATAGGACTTGTTTTTTTAAATTCTGTAATGATGGGTTATCTGCTAAGAGCTGTTTTTCACTTTTTCAGTTTTCTCCTGCACATAGCTTTATGGCTTTGGAAGATATTTTTTTCTAATTTTACTTTAAAATTTATTTCGAATTTCACAGGGAGAAATCAGTGTGTCTACTTAAAAGGGACTGGAAGGAGGGTCAATTGCTGTTCAGAACTGATGAGCACATCATAGCTATTGAAGTTTCAAACATAGACAATAGTATATTTGTCATATGCTGTGACAATACCTTTGCGTGTTATAGTAAAAAAGTAGGTATTTATACTACTGTCGCAAGATATTCAATTGTTCAAGCCTTTAATATTATTTCACTTTTTTAATTTAATCATCATTAGCCATAACTATAAAAAGTATACTAGAATCGTTATTTTCCATTCATCGTCATCATTATTACGGTCCATTTACATCACACACAGATTACCCCCTAATAGATTCCGCATACAGGGCCCCAAACGCGCGCAATACATACTTGCTGTAGCTAAGCATATGAAGTGACGCTAAGAATCAGAATATCATTATCGATCAAGTTTGTGACCCGTAGGCACGTCCGAGTTTTTGAAAATTTAAAAAAATATCCAAAATATAAATGCTCCTTGCGTAATGTTGCAAGTATATATAATTTTGCAAAGTGATATCATTTGAGCACCCGTTGCTGTTTTTTACAAATGTCCCTTTCACTCATTACGTAAATTAAAATAGTTGTCTTTGTCTAACGACAGCACGTGTATCGATAGTGTTGTGATTTATAAGTCGATATTTGTTTGGTCATCGTTAACTTTTTTTTGTAGTCATTATTTTATACAAATAGTGGCGTATATATTGTGGTACCTATATGTTATAGGTTTCCTAAATGCCCCGAAAGGAATGGATCGACGCCACATGTCGAGGGGAACAATGGTTTCCCACCAAAAATAGTGTGCTATGCTCAAGATACTTCACAGAAGACAATCTTCATATTATGAAAAACCGTAGAAGGCTGTTGGATTCTGCTATACCATCTATATACTTGCCAGTTTTAGTTATGGACTTTTACATTTTTTAAAAAGTATAATACCAATGGTGATTACACAATAAGTAATAGCATTAAGTGGTTGATTGAAAGGTGATATTCTAATAATTAGGCGAATGTTACACGTCGAAATTAAACTATTTTTAACGGATTTATAAACCATAAAACAAGTAAAAGTTATAAATGTGATTAATGTTATTCTAGTTTACAGGAACTTCAGTAATATTCTATTATTATTATTGAGTATATCTAAATTTGAAACACGTACCGTATGGTTTTTTTAATTAATAATACTAATTTTAAGTGCAACACTAGGCAAAAATACTGTCACCACCGAAAGGACATACTAGAACACACACAAAAGATTCCCACCATTTTGTTAGTGAGATAAAAGACCTACATCTTCACATCTGGCTATCTATTGTAGACAGAAGAGTTCTACAAGCAAGTTGATGGTGTTATTATACTGTAAGCTCATTTTATGTTGATCGAGACCAAAAATCAATATTCAAAAACTGAAGATAGCCGGGCTAACTATGATATTGAGATGTCAAACATCTCAGTACCTACCCCCCCCCCCCCGTGAACATAAGTACCATAAAATCATATATATATATATATATAATTTATTTTTAAATATATTTCAAATAAAAATTTGCAATTCATTTATTTATCAATAAATCCCAAATTTATCGATCAACATCCCAACCCTGTCCCATCACTATGGTTCGGAGCATTCTAAGTTCAATCTTGAATTATCCAATCACAGCGCATTTGACACGTGACACGCAACTCGAAATTTGGTGAAATCGAAACAGCGCAAATATTCCATGATGCGGTATCTATTAGGAGGTAATCTGTGACATCACATCATAACACACAAGATACAAGAGACCTGTCTCCATTATATGATTCAAAACCTGGACTGTTTGCTGAGTTTGAACCCCTTGCTAGTAATACCATATATCTCACTCCTTTAAAGTATGCATCAATGACTTTTTAGCCAATGCAAAAAATGTAAAAATAGCAGCCTTTAATACTGCTGTGTTTTGTATGATGAGTGTAGAGAACCGGAGACCCTTTTTAAAAACGAGGTATTCCATTTTAGTTCTCAGGGGTGACAACGTATCTGCATTTTGATTTTGATTTTTAATTGAAGATAAATGTAGATGTCTATGGAATCCACTTACTGTCAGGTGGACTGTGTGCTAGTTAGTCACCCTTATTCTATAAAAAAAGCTACCAGGGCGGCGCCATCTTGGAATGAGGTGTTAATATTTGACAGACAATATGGCGAGGGAAGTTTATTTGTTAGAAAAGTTTAGATATTAATCTTACACCGGTCGAGCCGACCCATTCGTGCTACAACCATAATATAGCTGAAGCATGTCTCTACTGCTCATATAGTTATAAATAGTAGTCTTTAACATCTCTTTACTTTGACGTTCGATTTTATTTTATTTTCAGGGTAAAAAACAATGGTCATTAACTCTAGAGCACCGGCCAGTAGCTTTGACTCTGGTACCTATCATGCAATTGGGAACCACGCTGACGGCGGTCGCATTAGCCTCGGGCCATTTACACTTATATGACGGTAAAGCTCGCAGAGATACTATGTTTATAAGAGGTATGTGCATCAGCAAAAATTGGACCTAATTTTTGGAAGTTTTTAAAGCATTTATGAAAAAAGTCGCGGGGAGTTCGTTCGTTAGTTAGTAAGTTAGTTAGTGAGACAGCTATAATAAATTTAAGAATGCGTGGATATAATGAGCTTTCTTAGAGTTTTTATTTATGTATAACTAATGATTTGTCCCGGTTTCGCACGGGTGATATCTGGATTCTACAACAGCGCCACCTGCTGGGTCTAACTATGCCTATAACATTCGCGGAAGTGCAAGCAATATGTTGAAAAAGTTTTATCGCGATCTGGTGAACGGTATTACGTGGTGTAGTTTTTATATGTGGTAGAGCCACGCTGCAGCTATATTTTGGTTGAAGCATGAATGGGTCGACTTGACCGGGGAAGAACCACGCTCTTACAGAATACCAGCATGAAACAGCAGCTTAATGCTGCTGTGTTTCGTATGGTGAGTGTAGAGAACCGGAGACCCGTTTTACTGGAATCGAGTCATCACATCTTAATCTACAGAGGTGACAACGCATCTGCATTTTGATTCTTTATCGAGGTTAAATATAGATGGGCCACAGCATCCCCTTACCATCAGGTGGGCTGTGTGCTCGTTTATTCTATTTAAAAAATCTGTTACTCTAATTCTTCTTTATTACCAATTTTAAATGTTTAAATAGAAGTTCTATTACTTTAATAGAACGACTAAGTATTTAAAGCGCCGTCTCTACTTCCTCATACCGCCAGCAGTGAAGGAACACAGTTCAAGGAAGGTCTTGGTTCAATGGGTCAAACACACAATGATTTTTGTATTATGTATATTATATGTAATTGGTTCCTCGAAAACGGCTCCAAAGACTTGAATGAAATTTCTTATTTAGATATTGTTTTACTTTCTAAGTTTATCGAGATATCTAGTTGTCATCAGTGAGAAAATTATTTACTTATTCTAAAACCGAGTAGAACCCGATTGCCTAGGTATCAACTTTTTAGTTTATGTAGGTACCAAGTTGCCTCGTACTTGGTGATGAAGATAAGATTGTAATAAATCTGTTTGATGGAAAATACATATTTCGAGAACACGCTAAGTTAAGCCGAGAGGTTAAAAGGGAGAAAGGAAGTTGTAGGAGAGGACTGGCATGAACAACTATGAGATATTTATTTGCTGGAACTATTCTTCTTTTTTAATTTGTGGATTATATAATTGTTCCAGAAGTTGTATCGGTGATGAAGTTCGGTCAGCTCGGTAAAGAGGAGAATGTTTTCATAATTATAACTGCTAGTAAGTCACTTCTTTTTATTTAAAACAATACCTAGTGAATTATGATAATCATTGCCGTGTGTGGTGGTATAAGAGAAACAAGCGACTAAATAATTAACAAGCGTCTGTGATAAATTCAAAAATTGCAACAAAATAATGGCTTCCGTTAGATGCTACTATACAACCATCTCGTGTATCATCGTCATCATCATAATTAAAATGCCTCTCTGTACCCTTCCGACCGGTACACAACAGTAAGCATTGCTGCACTGTAGATATTAATAATTTTTTTTTATTTATTAAACTTAACTTAATAATGAAAGTAAAAGTAGTAAAACAAAAGTTTAATTTTATGTGCAAATGGTAAGAAAAGCTATAAAAACGCAGAGCAGAAAATTACAAGATAATATAATCAATATAATCAGGTGTTACTTTGCGGAAATCTATTATAATAAGCCACTTAGCGGTCACAAGTCAAAGTCACTTAGGGGTCAGCCACCACAGAGTCTACATCACCTGAGGATGCCCCGTGTAGAGGCAAAACACGTGTCGTATTATCGTTGATGGTGTGCTTTCTTAGTGTAGTGGTGTTGGGAGTAGTGGCGCTGGAATTAGTGGTGACGGGATTAGTGCACGCAATTAGAGGTGGTCGGGAGGTGCTCTTCACACATCATTTTATTTTATTGAGCGGATGTATGCGCAGTAGTTCTTAACAACTTTAATACAAGATAAGGTTAGAAGCAGCGTAGTAAACATTTACAGAAAGAATAAGGTGCACATACCAACATTTACCTATTGAAGTCCCCTGCTGAACATAGACCTCCCCATATAGTTGCCAAGCGGGTTAGCAACCGTAGTTTTTTAATTTTAAGTCGTTATCAGGAAGAAGTAGCTGCCTATCTCCTGATTTTATTCCTTCTGTCGCCTCTTACGACACCCACGGGACGATATGAGGTAGTGAATATTCTTACACCGCCACTACACGGCCAGGTATCTGTGAAATGCTCTTTTGGTTCGTAAATTAGCAATATTTTTATCGCAGCCGGCAATCTGATGCTAAAAATACTGAAGCGCACGGCGGATTTCAACGCGGACGCGGCCAGTGTGGAAGCCGGCCCGAACCACTGCTCCGCGAACAAACCTTGGCTCATACCTAAGAAGTCCAAACTGTTCCTCGAACAGTCTGCCAGGGAACGGGAGAACGCTGTCGGTGGGTAACAAAGAACAGAATGGAACATTTCGTAATCATTGAGTTAATATTGGAATAAGACTATAATATCTCTGGGGGCACGGCAGTGCCCCCGCCAAATCGAGCAAAGAAGCGGCACGGCCGTACCATACTTTTCTCGAAGCAGTTCAGGCCATTTTCGACCCACTATAACTTCGTGGTGGATAAAACTAGAAGCCTGAATTTTCAGTAACCGAGTAGGTATTGTATAAACATAGTATATTTTAAAATTCATTCAATTTGAACCAGTAGTTTAAGAATTATAACTAGTCAAAGTTTCTTAATTTTGTCACTCACTGACTGACCGATTATCAAAATTCTGAGGCTGACTTCTAGCAGACATAGAAGCTTCAAATGTAGAATATAATTAGTGTTTAAGTATAAAAATCAAGGCTAAAATATTCTTTTAATTTCGGTCCAGTTTTCTAGATAGACCAAGTGCATAAATAACTTTGTAATCCCATATAAATATATAAAATTACAAAGTTACATTTTCAGTGAATAAATCAGTGTACTTGTATATGTATAATAGGTGTAGGTAGGTACGTTGTTGGTATTCAAGAAGAAGAAGGTACCGGAAAGGTAAAAAAGTAGGACTATCTTATCTACAAAAAGAAATGAGATGCCATCAAAAACATAACTTGTTAAAAACGCCAAATCTCGCAACTCAGTTCTTCTACCGTAAAAAGTTGTGAGATCCATGTAAAGATTTTTAACATTGATATGGTCACTATAAAATGTTGTTAGCTACAACTTAAAACACAAGGAACCTTAAGTAGGGACTGAATAAATTAACCGACATGGATCTCACAACTTTTCACGGTAGAAGAACTGAGTTGCCAGACTTGGTATTTTTACAAGTTATGTTTTTGATGGCATCTCATTTCTTTTTGTAGATAAGATAGTCCTACTTTTTTACCTTTCCGGTGCGGAGTACCCGCTCCCCACTTCAGGCGACACCGTGAAAAAATGCAGCTCCTTTCATCGAATAGTATAGGACTATGACACCACTAACGAAAGTGGGATTTTGATATAGGTAAATTCATGTCTTTATCTTGAATTTGATTGCTCAAAAACACGATTGTATAATTTCGACTCGATCATAATTATTTGCGAAAACACCTCTAAAAAATCACTATAGTTGAAATTACAACGAAATCACTTGATCTATATGTTTGGAAATCACTCAAATATATTCATAACATCAATATTCATAATTTACTTGCTCATTATTTTGATAACTTAAATCAATAATTTTTAAAAAAATATTTTAAGATTCTGACAATTTATAAGCGCTTTTAATCGTCGCGGGCGCTACGCAATTTTAGACTTTATGACGGCGTTTTTTCATGTTTTTATAGAAATTATGTATTCACTCGGATCAGTATGGCGATAGCGTTTTCGATGTGTCGTCTTCATCGCGCTTGCCACTCGCCGCTGACGCATACTGCGACGGAACTCGAGACCATTCTACACGTTTTTCATACGATTATGTGTCCGGCACCGCATGCCGCATACCGCAGCGTTGTTCGTTACGATCAAGAGACCAAAATTTCAGATAGAATGCTTCTAGTAAAACGGGTCGCCCAGTTCTTTACACTCACTATGAACGAAGCTCGCTAGCATTAGGTTGCTATTTCACGCTGGTATTCTGTGAGAGCGTGATAATAAGTTTGAGATTAACTCAATGAAATCAGTAAATTTACTTTACACCACGTAATTATATTCATAAATCTTTTAATACTATTGTATTGTAACCGCGATTGCTAACCATAAGGTGCCGGGCTCGAACCCCGGATTGGGCCAAACCCAGTTTTTGGGTTTTTCTGTCAAGAAATCTCAATCCAGAGTAGGGTTGCCACCTTTTTTTTGAACATATATAGTATTTATCCCAAAAAAGATTCAAAAATATAGTACTTTTGAAAATAAAAAATGTACACATTTATTCTTAATCTTTATGTACTTTTCCATAAATATTTGTTATTGCTTTTTGCTTTGACCGTCAATTATCTTTAAAATCTACCATCAATTACCTATCAATTACCTTTAAAATAATAACAGGTGTCTGAGGAATTAACATTCATAATAAAATAAATGAACAATTAGTTTTAATAAAATTAATATATTATCTAATACATTAGTAAATTAATATCACGACGATAAAAATTCTCTCCATAAAACTTACTTGTTCCGGACTTCCAATCGCAGTTAATATAAAACAGCGCGACTGTTGATTGGGGATAAAAATATAGTGTTTTTCATACTATATTATTTTTCTATAACATATAGTACAATTAACTGTAATAAATTATGATACTACATATTATAGTACGGGTGGCAACCCTAGTCCAGAGTCTAGAAATAGGCGGTGCCGATGCTCCAGAAAGCAGGTAAAGCCATTGCTCGTGCGCCTAATCTCTCTCCTTTCGTATCGGTTTACCGTCCCATCGGACTATGAGAGTGAAGGAATTGAGAGTGCACCTGTGCTTGCGCATACACTTGGGCACTATAGTATAGGATTATAATCCTGCCCTGCGCAGATGGCTTGTCTACATTGAGATTGCCCGCCTTTACCGAAGTTAGGTCTGGAGGACATTATATTCATGAACAGAATTGGAGAGTTCGATCATTTATTGAAAGTCTCGTGTTTGAGTTGGGTTTTCTCCTACTGTGCTTTTTTATGACTACTTCATCAGATTTGACTTGAAAGACTATTTATATAAAATTAAGCAGGAAAAGATCTTAGCCTGAAGATGTTGTTATTTTTTTTTATAGGAAAAGGGTGACAAACGAGCACACAGTCCACCTGATGGTAAGTGGTTGCTGTAACCCATAGACATCTACATCTATCCTCGTTTGCGAATCAAAATGAAGATGCGTTGTCAGCCTTGAGGACAGATGGAATGCCTCTTTTCCAGTAAAAAGCGGTACGGTACACTCACCATACGAAACAGCAGCATTAAGCTGCTATTTGACGCTGGTATTCTGTGAGAGCGTGGTCCTTCCCCGGTCGAGCCGACCCATTCGTGCTACAACTATACAATTAATATAGCTGCAGCATGGCTCTACCACGTAAAATGCATTATTCCTTAGTGGTCGGTACTTTGTCGCACACGATATTTAATAAAAAAGACGTTACCCACCTGGATTTTCTCTTGTATCGTTAAAGCAGTTTACGTACATAAATTGCACAAGGATAAACATTATACATCCAGAAACGAAATAATTATTTATAGGCTACAAATACATGTTCCGTGCGAGATTCGAACCCGCGTCCCGAGTCGTGGCAGGTTGCTAAGCCATGGCGCCACGTAGCCGCGGCGCGGCGGTTCAATTCAACCGGCAGGTGCGCTAATCGCTAAACTACACGGTCATTTATTTCTTTAATGCAGCTATGCACGAGGCGTTCCAGCTCGATCTGAACCGATTACGGCTGCTGGCCGCGAAAACCCTACTGGAGACGCACGTTAAGTCGGACAACTCCATAGCTGTCGGAGCATTAGAGCCAATCAGGCTCTCTGCTGAGGTGATATTTCATATCAATTTTTATATTCTTACGGGTATTAAATCATTTTAACTGATTCTATTCCCCTTTTTATTTTATTCGTAATACTAGTTCTGTAAACGTTTCATTACAACACCATGACGCTGTCTTTGCAGTCTACTTCTCATCAACTATTTAAGTATTAAGAGGATGGATTGGGCTGCAAGAAATTTGAAGAATAGGTTTCAAACGATCTATTGCTACCACGCTGTGCTTAAACGACTAAGCTAGACAACCGAGATAGATAACTGTTCATACCTATGAATAATTGACGAATGACACATTCCCGTATCCTCTTATGAAAAAATAAATCAGGATTGTATTGTAAAAAATATTTGATATAGTTTCATTATCCGTTGAGAAAACTGGGGAATACATTGGTATGAAATAAGCTCTGCCCAGATATCCTCTTAAGATCAGGTTTAACGGTTTTTAGAACCAAGTAAAATCAGAACTGACACAGAATTTAATCTAATTGAAAAACTTTGTTGATTTATAATTATAATAGTTTTAAATTAACGTCCCAACTCAGATATTATGTGATATATACAAGTATGCAACACTCCCGACCGACTTAAGAGGATACCTTGAAAATAAATCGTAGTTTTGGGGGCGTGGCTTATTCCTTTGTCGGTGAAGCTGAAGGACGACTGAGGGAATGTCAAAATGGAAGTGATGCAATGACTTCATAATATGTAAATTGTGAGATAGCTATACCGAGCACACGCTCGGAAAAAACTAAGTAAGCGCTAAACATTTTTATTTTTTTGAAAAAAAAAAATGACAAAACTTCGTTATGGATTAAAAAAATGGTTTATGAGAACTTAGATATGATTATTAACTATGCATTAAAAACAATTCCATGAAAAATATTCCGGTGTCATGAAGAAATGTAACTGATTAGAGGCTATTTTTGCAATTTTTTTTGCTATCGAGAAAATTACATGATATCGTGTTTTCCTTTTATGCAATCCAAGGTCATATAGTTAAAAGTAATATACCAAAATTTTGGTTTGTATTCTATAAAACTTAAAAAAAATATGTGAAATAGAATAACCATCAAATTTTCGAGGTATCACCTTAATTTTCAAATTGACTATAGTTTTAATATCTTCGCTTATAATATTATAAAACGATTTTTACAACACAACGATTTTTTACGACACGAATAGGATTGATGACATGGGGGACGTTCAAGAATTACGTAATGCAATTTTTGACGGTTTTTGACTCTCCCCCCCCATATAACGCTCCGTAACATTTTTCTGTACCCCCTCCCCCTCCCTAAACGTTACATAACACCCAAGTAACCATTTTTAACTAAAAGTCATGTTATTATTTTAATCGCGTTTGCGGTAATAATAAATAATGGTTTATATAATATCATATACCAACCCATATGTGTTATTATTACATTTTAGCAAGTAAACTTAGCTGTGTAAAATAAATAAGCATTGCATTTAGCTGTCTTCCAATTTTGTTGTTTTTTTGGCATAGTTGCGCTGACAAAGTAAGAATGAGAGTCTTTATAGGCCAAGAACAGCTGATGTTGCAAATCTCCCTCTTTTGAGGACATTACAGTACGAACTCACTTTAAAAACGCTGACTACAGCAATGTGCTTCTGCGTAAACACTAATGAATACTGACAACAAAAACAAAAATAATTACTCGTACAATACAATCGAGGAATTCCCCGTAAAACATAAGCATAAATGGTGCAAATAAAAAAATGAATAAAAAAACAATGTTACGTAACGCCTTGTTCGAAACCCCGAAGACCCCCCCCATCCCCTTCATATAATTCATTCATTCATTCATTAATGGCTTCTAAAGGTTCACTGCTAAACATGATGCTGAACAGCAATATACGTTATTTAGGCGTGGTAGCATATGGGTGCAAGATTCGCGTAAATATACTTTTAACGAAGCTTTTCCTCACGCAGGTGGAGGGCCTGGGCCCTGTATTTCGTGTGACCCTTATAATAGAGAACACGTCCAGTGAGAAGGCTGTTATGGGACTGGCGCTGCTCTTCCACGTACATACCAACTGCTACAAGGTTTCAAAACCGTATATAAAGGTAAAATCTACGGCTCTACGGCATTTTCCATTGTCTAAATCGCCCTATAATAGCCATGGATTAGTCACCTGTTGGACGTAGGCATCTTTCTTTATAGTGGTTTGACAATCGCCACGCTTCGTGAACAGAACAGTGAATAAAATGAAATGAAATGAAAATTGATAGAAAATTGAATAAAAATGTAATAAATGAGAAAATGAAATGTAATGAAAATGAAATGAATTTTTTTGAAAGATTTTCCTTTGCCGCCTCTCACGACACGTACGCGTTAAAATGGGGAGGAGAATTCTCTTACGCCGCTGTTATACGGAATACAAACTGAGGACCACACACTACAGCCAGTGAGATGAAAAACCACACAGGTTATAAATTAATATACAAGCACTCCTCAAGGGATGCAGCAGTGCACTGCTACTATGCGGCAGAAGTAAGCATTTAAAATCCTCGATGATTTGGCGTTGAATGAAATGTGAGACCACATTTATTCCAGGTACCTCTCCTCTCCCCAAACAGCCAGCTTAAACTGCCGACGAAAATCGAAGAAGTATTTGAAGAGAATCTTAATCCGGAAATATTATTAAGGACTGTCACTGGGCAAGGCGGGGAGAGGTCGCTTTTAAAAATACTACTGCTGAAGGAGGGGAGGAAGACCCCAGTGTTGGCTGCTACGGTCCAAATGCCCCCCCACCGACCCCATGATGATCCCCTACGATAAGATGCAGTCCGCGAGTGGTTTTGACTGATGTGTAAATTACATTTAGATCAAACTAACTTATGTCTCTTATTATGTATTATATTATTATGTATCCCTACATGCCCGCTACCCTGTTCTTGATTAGGGTCTATATTTGAAAGGTTCTTTAAGAGGTAGAACTTCTTTTCTACCTGGAAGTCCGTCTGGGTAGACACCGCTCTCTTACCGATTCCTGCCGTCGAACAACAGTGTCTGTACTACTGCATACCAGCCTGAAGGGTCTAGAGAGCCAGTATAATGGCAGAATGTAAGGCAATAATCCAGACTTAAAGGTGATATATTTTTTTACACAATAAGGGTGCCAAACGAGCACACAGTCTACCCGATGGTAAGTGGCTGATGTGGCCCACAGATATCTACATCTATCCTCGATTAAAAATTAAAACACAGATGCGTTGTCACCCCTTAGGACTAAGATGGTATGCCTCGTTTCCAGTAAAAAGGGTCTTTGGAACTCTACACTCACCATCACACACAGCAGCATTAAGCTGCTATTCTACGCTTGCATTCTGTGAGAGCGTGGTTCCTTCTCTGCCAACCCAATCGTGCTACAACCATAATATAGCTGCAGTGTGGTCCTACCACGTATAAAATCTGTAGCTTTTGTATAAAATTGACTCAAGGTGCCCATGAACGCAGTAGCCATTTACCATCAGATGGACTATTAGTTTATTTTCTACTTCAGTTTCATAAAAAAAGGTGCTTAGTTGAGTAGTCTCCTCGTGCCTAATACTGCTTTTTGCATGTCAATATATATTTATTAGATTAAAAGTAAATTTACAGCATATAAACATCTCAATCCTGGGTGCAGGCCTTCTCTGATTTCTAAAAGAGTTGAGGTTTTTTTTAGAATAAGACAAACCAGCTCACAGACTAATGGTGAGTGGATGATGTGATTCTCAATAAGGGATCAAAATGCAGATGCGTTGTCAGCCCCGAGGACTAAGTGAAATGCCTCGATTCTGGTAAATGGGGTCTCCTGTTCTCTTCACTCAATGTACGAAACACAGCAGCATTAAGCTGCTATTTTACGCTGGTATTCTGTGGAAGCGTGGTCCTTCCCCGGTCGAGCCGACCCATTCGTGTTGTAACTATAATATGTCTGTAGCATGACGTGTATAAAGATGTGTTTGATAAATTAACAACACGATTATTTTGAAGACATATGAAGTCCGCCAACACGCTTTGGTGCAGCGCGGTGGACACTTTCTTATCCTGAAACTCCCTTAGAAATAGTTGGCAGTTAAATAGAGTAAGTTGTTATATAGCTCTTGTAATTCACCAAGTAGAGCGGTCTTTACACGTGGTTGAATGTGTACATGCATATTGCGGTAGTATGCGTGTCTGACGGAGCGATCATTTGCGAGTTTAGAACATTCAATCCAACTACGGTTGCGAGTGTGCCGTCGTCAAACATACCTGCTTTTGATCTTACGTACATTTTGACACATGTAGACTATACGTGTTAAACGCAAGTATAGCCCTTATTTAAGGAAATATATGATTGATAAGGGCTATAAATTAAAGCAGGTATCGACTAGTGATTAAGACAGTATCTGATATAAAAATATTATGATACTTATTTAATTTGTGTACTGATAACTTCCAATGGATAGCTAGAATAATCTCCTATATAATCTAATCTCGTATATATAGTACTAGCCGAGGTAATTGTCAGAATTGTGTGATAAGAAAAAAGTGACGTTTTCAGGGTGTTGTGCTTGTGACCAGGATTAAAAAAGGAATGCGTCGGTGTTTTTGATGAAAACCGGAAATTTGTCGACCAAATTGAAAATATATTTTTTAAAAAGCCAAATTAAGAGTTCCTATACCACGAGATCGTATACGTAAATATGTGAATGTAAAGGAAGCGAGAGAGAAGGGTCATGATCGTGCCAAATGAAAATCCGTAGGTTCTAGGTCCATAGTTCCGTAGGTCCTTAATTCTAGGTAAGAGGTAACTAAGGGAAATTTTCAAAAGATCCGATATAATGCTAACGATATAACGTAATAACCATCTGATTTACATTACACCTGAAACTAGGTAGGTAACAAACGAAAATGAGTTACGTCAAAGGTGCGAAACGTTAGGTACTGCCAATAAGACTTAGTAACGACTCCGAAGGAAAGAAACAACGAACAAAACTTTTTATTAAAATGAAAACCGACTTCAAAGAACCAAATAATAAAATAATTTCACATTATAAAGTCGGTGTCAAAACATAATGTATAGAAGAAGACCCGATAGCCAGAATGTTAAATTATATAATTTTTTATGATTTTTTTGAACTCAACTTTTACTTTTTTTAAGTTAGTTTTTACACCACTTTAAGTGGACTTAGGAATATCACAATCTTAAGTCAGTTAGATAGTTACATTAAAAACGTCGTATACTATTTTGCCACCCTAAAAAGGGAATTTTCTTCTCAAAATTTATATGGGATCACCCCTAAAGTATAACCTATTTTCATAAAGAAAGAACCATTATTACCGGTGTACAATTGGCGAAGATATCGCGTAGGTACCTAACATACATAAAAAATTTAAAAAAAAATAGTTGAATTGTAAACCTTCTTTTATTGAAGTCTGCTAAAAAGTAAGAAGTAAGCAAAGCAATAAGATGTCGCTCTCTGAATCGGGTGTAGCTAAAGACATTAATCTGAATAAAAACATTCAGTTAGTCGGTCAATCAGACAAACAAACGAATGAACAAATAAACAGTTCACAAACGAACCAAGAAACGAATAGGGCAAACTGTACGCTTGTGTTTTATTTTGTAATTAAAAAAAAAAAACAAAATGACCGCAATAACGTAATCCCTAATTTGCTCCCGAATTTCTCTAGCTAATAGGTACTCGATTCGTATACAACAAATAAGATATTGCCCCTAGGTAAATAAGCAAGCACCATCACCAATTATTGATATTAAATAAAAAAATTGAAATAAAAGCTATATATATATATATATAATTGTAGCTTTTATTATTGTGGCTTATGAATGGTATAAGGCTTTTAAAGAAGGCCGAGAAGTAGTAGTAGACTTGCCTCGTTATGGTAGACCTTCAACCGCTACGACCAAAGAAAACATCGACAAAATCAAGAAGCTAGTGCTCGAAAATCGACGTATGAGTCTGAGAGAGTTGGCTAGTGAGGTGAACATATCTTTTAAGTCCGTCCACAACATTCTCATTGACATTTTAGGCATGAAACGCGTCGCCGCTCGACTAGTTCCAAAAGAGCTCAATTTTGTTCAAAGAGCGCAGCGAAAGCATGTCGCTGAAGACATGGTTTCCCGAGCTTCTACGGATCCGACCTTTATGAAACGTATAATAACTGGCGACGAGACATGGGTTTATGAGTACGACATGCAAACAAGCCAACAGTCTTCAGAATGGCGTCTCGAAAACGAGCCGAAACCCAAAAAACCGCGGCAAAGTCGCTCCAAAATCAAGGTGATGCTGACAGTTTTTTGACTACCGTGGTGTGGTTCACTCCGAATTCCTTCCAAAGGGAGAAACAGTGAATAAAGAATATTATTTAGGCGTCATGAAGCGTTTGCGTGAGAGTATCCGCCGAAAACGTCCAGATTTGTGGCAACACAACTCATGGATGCTGCACCATGATAATGCACCATCACACACAGCCATTATAGTGAAAGAGTTTTTAGCGAAAAAATTCAACAAAAGTTCTCGACCAAGCACCGTATTCACCTGATATGGCTCCGTCTGACTTTTTTTATTTCCCAAGTTAAAATTACCACTTCGAGGAAAACGTTTTGAGTCGATAGAAGCCATAACAAAAAATTCGCTGAATGTGCTAAAGGCCATAGCCTATGAAAAATGTATGGAAGACTGGGTGAAGCGTTGGAGATGTTGTATTGCAAGCGATGGGGCCTACTTTGAAGTCGATAAAATAAATTTAGATGAATAATTTGTATTTTTTGTTTTATTGACAAATTCCCGATATTTAGTACACAGAAGGTATACCGGTGGTTCACCTGTTACGTCCAAAATCAGAGTCAGATAGTTGCCCTGGTTACCTCTAAGGCCATGCCAATACCGTCTGGTGTTCCACAAGGCTCCTTGCTAGGGCCTCTTCTCTTTTACATCTTTATTAATGATATCTTCACATGTTTCAAATACTCAGAAATGTAGGATACGCCGATGATATGAAAATATTATGTTCTATGAAATCCCTCGAAAGCGTTCGTCATTTGCTAGAAGACTTAATTTAAAAATTACATCTATACAACAAATTGGTGTTAGATGTTTTAAATGCTATATTTGCACATACTCACGGAAGACTAAACCTATATAATTTTCTGCAACACTATAAAATGTACTAGTCCAAGAGCTGGCGACGAATTTTGGAAAGGTCCCCTTGGCAAGTTGAAATTGTGAAAAAATATAATTTCCCATTGGTCAATCCAGTCCGGCGAGTCTAGGAGAGCATTTGCGGTTATTTCGTTACTGCGCAGCATATAAAATCCAAAAAAAATTGACACATTTTTAAATCTTTTTATGTAGTTTGTATGTAATTGAAAAAAATTAAAACATTTTTGTCGGTTATAAAGTATTACCAGACCTCCACAAAAATATTATATTAAAATTCCCAACATATATACTTTTGGCAATCTCAAATTTTAATCACGTATTTATTGAGTATTTTTAATAATACCTGAAAATCGCCAGGCAAATTTAGCGGTTTAATAATATTTCTCAGACATGAATACAGTTTACAAATGAATAAGACAAAAAAGTCTTATGCGTAGCCATAGGTGCGAGAAAGATAGCTGATGGGGGCCCAAAATACTCGCGCTGTGATTGCATAGTGATAAATCGCGTGTTTCCAGTATAGTTCTATGCACAGAAATCGTAATAATTATTACGATTTCTGTGGTTCTATGATATGATTATAGATCTATGATTTATAATTAACATAGCAAATGGTACAAATACGAT